GCCGCCTCGTGCTCCCACGAGGAGCTCGAACAGTTCATACACTTCACTAACACCTTCCACCCCAACCTTAAGTTTACCTGGACCATCTCTAACACCTCTCTCCCCTTCCTGGACCTCTCTGTCTCCATATCGGGCAACCACCTAGAAACCGATATTCATTTCAAGCCCACCGACTCCCACAGCTACCTAGAATACTCCTCCTCCCACCCACCTTCCTGCAAAAATGCTATCCCCTATTCCCAATTCCTTCGCCTCCGCCGCATCTGCTCCCAGGATGAGGCATTCCACTCCCGTACATCTCAGTTGTCCTCGTTTTTCAAGGACCGTAACTTCCCCTCCTCGGTGGTCGAGAACGCCCTCAACCGTGTCTCCCACATCTCCCGCACCTCATCCCTCACACCCCGTCCACGCAATAAAAACCAAAAAAGAATCCCCCTCGTCCTCACGTACCACCCCACCAACCTCCGGATCCAACGCATCATCCTCCGACACTTCCGCCATCTGCAATCCGACCCCACCACCAAAGACATCTTTCCCTCCCCACCCTTATCTGCTTTCCGGAGGGACAACTCTCTCCGTGACTCCCTTGTCCGCTCCACACTCCCCTCCAGCTCCACCACACCCGGCACTTTTCCCTGCAACCGCAGGAAGTGCTACACCTGCCCCCATACCTCCTCCCTCACCCCCATCCCAGGCCCCAAGAAGACTTTCCACATCAAGCAGATGTTCACCTGCACATCTGCCAATGTGGTATACTGCATCCGCTGTACCCGGTGTGGCTTCCTCTACATCGGGGAAACCAAGCGGAGACTCGGGGACCGCTTTGCAGAACACCTACGCTCGGTTCGCAATAAACAACTGCACCTCCCAGTCGCGAACCATTTCAACTCCCCCTCCCATTCCTCAGACGACATGTCCATCCTGGGCCTCCTGCAGTGCCACAACGATGCCACCCGAAGGTTGCAGGAACAGCAACTCATATTCCGCTTGGGAACCCTGCAGCCCAATGGTATCAATGTGGATTTCACAAGTTTCAAAATCTCCCCTTCCCCTACCGCATCCCAAAACCAGTCCAGCTCGTCCCTGCCTCCCTAACCTGTTCTTCCTCCCACCTATCCCCTCCTCCCACCTCAAGCCGCACCTCCATCTCCTACCGACCAACCTCATCCCGCCCCCTTGACCTGTCCGTCCTCCCTGGACTGACCTATCCCCTTCCTAACTCCCTACCTACACTCACCTTTACTGGCTCCATCCCCGCCTCTTCGACCTGTTTGTTTCCTCTCCACCTATCCTCTCCTCTATCCCTCTTCTATCCGCCTCCCACTCTCTCCCTATTTATTTCAAAACCCCCTTCCCCTCCCCCTTTTCTGATGAAGGGTCTAGGCCCGAAACGTCAGCCTTTCTGCTCCTATGATGCTGCTTGGCCTGCTGTGTTCATCCAGCCCTGCACCTTGTTGTCTCGGATTCTCCAGCATCTGCAGTTCCTACTATCTCTGATTCAATGTTATTTGAGTGTCTAGATTAACAGTCCAATGATAATACCACTAGGCCATCACCTCCCCTAAATATCTTTCCTTTTCATGGACAAAGGTCTATACGGTCAGCCTATTCTAAGGAATTCACAGGACTGCCCCACTCAAAGTAGAGACTAAAAGCTAAAAGTGTCTAACAATGGGTATTTCCCTTAAGCTTAAAAAAACAAGTTCCAAAAATCTCAAACCTTGAGGTCCCATTATTTAAGAACCAAAATAACTGCAGATGCTGTAAATCAGGAACAAAAACAAAGTTGCTGGAAAAGCTCAGCAGGTCTGGCAGCATCTGTGAGGGAAAAAACAGAGTTAACGTTTCGGATCCAGTGACCCTTCCTCAGAACTGATGGTGGCTGGGAAAACATCAGTTTGTATGCAGAAAATAGGAAGTGGGTGGGGTAGGGAGTAAACGATAGGATAGAGCCTAAAGAGAGAGAAGAGCAGTTGAACAGACAAAGGAGTTCATAACAATCAGGCTAGGAGGGTGAATAGTTGTTGATGTGGACTATTAGTAACTAACAACAGGTGGTGTATAAAGACAGGCTATGTGACAGCAAGACTTTGTGTGTAGGGTAGGGGGCTGGGACATGGGAGAGTTTAGGCCCTAAAATTATTGAACTCAATATTGAGTCCAGAGGGCTGTAGGGTCCCCAAGTGGAAAAGGAGGTGTTGTTCCTCCAGCTTGCATTGAGCTTCGCTGGAACAGTGCAGCAAGCCAGAGACAGAGATGTTGGCCAGGGAGCAGGTAGTTCAGGGTCTTTTTTTGTGAGCAGAGCGTAGATGTTCTGCGAAGCGGTCACCCAGTCCATGCTTCATTTCCCCAATGTAGAGAAAACCACATTGTGAGCAGCGAATGCAGTAGACTAGATTCTGGGAAGTGTAGGTGAAGTGTTGCTTTACCTGGAAGGTACGTTTGGGCCCTTGGATTCTGGAGAGGGAGAAGGTAAATGGGCACCAGATGCATATTCCCTTCCCCTGTCCACCTTTCACAGGACCCACTCCCTCCGGGACACCCTGGACCACTCTTCCTTTACCCCTTAACTTCAACGCTTCACCTGCAATATATAAACTGACATTTTTCCAGCCATCATCAGTTTTGAGGAAGGGTCACAGGACCCGAACCGTTAACACTGATTATTTTCTTCACAGACGCCGCCAGACCTGCTGTGCTTTTCCAGTAACTATTTTTAGGCCCCATTATTTACCTTGCTGAGTTGCAAAGCATTCTGAAATAAACAAAAGTCCATTAGTACTGCATACATTTTCACTCAAAAGGTCTTTGGTGATTATTTGTGAAACTGTAGTAAAGTGCTATGAATTTTTGCTATCGTTAGGCCGAGGGGACAGGTATCAAGTCTCGTTCAACAGGAATAGAGATCAAACCCTACATATTTCCTAACCAGCCGTGGGACTTGAACCCAGGCCTCTTGGCTCAGATTTAGAGACACTGTACCATAAAAGCCCCAAGATTAAACCCCTTGCTGTTCTTATTCATCTGATCCACCTGTTAGCTGTTTAAGCTAACAAGCCCCCAAAGTCAAGAGGAATGGAATATAAAAACTATGAAGAGATGGCAGCTCTATCTAAAAATCTAGCAAGATCACAGTGGGAGTATTGCATGCAAATCTGTAGTTCCACACAATTGGCATGTTATTGAAAAACTTTGGAGAATACCATAGAGGTTCATTAGGATGTTGGCTGGAATGACAAAACACAAATGCAACTCTTTGAAAAATTAGACTGACACTGTTACAGCTGAGGGATTTATGGGATGATTAGGCAGAAGATGTTTAAAATTATGGACACCCAGAACAGAATAGACAGTTTGTAACAGTTTTTGAGTAATACCATAAGATTTAGAAGCAGATGTAGGTCATTCAGCCCATCAAGTCTTCTCCTCTATTCCATGAGATCATGGTTCATCTGACAATTCTGAATTCCTGCCTTTTTGCTATAACCCTGGATTTGTTTCCTTTACTGATTAAAAATTTATCTCTGCATCAATTATATTTAATGACTCAGCCTCAACAGCCTTCTGCAGTAAAGAATACCATAAATTCACTCCCCTCTGATTGAAGATATTTCTCTTCATCTCTGGGGGACTCCTTACTCTGAGATTATGCCCTCTAACAAGTAGAAATAACATCTCCACTGTTGCTGACAAAACCCCATGATTCTTATTTGTTTCAATTCTCCTGAACTCCAACGTGTACAGGCCGACATTACTCAATCTCCTCTTAAGATATATCCCTCCAT